CTCGTTGCTCGCTTTCTGTAGCCTATATCATTTTATTTTTAAGATTTATTTTTAATGCTTCTGTAAAGGACTAATGGCCGCATAGCCTATACACTGCAGAGTTTAAGGGAGACAATGGCACTTAACAGTAAAGTCATAGCTAAATATGTTCTTTTCATTCATGAAGATTTAAGCATGTAGTTTATCCACATTTGTTCAAAACAGCCTGGCAGATAGTTCACAAGATGTAGGCAAAAGTTTGTATTGTATACAGGAAGGATGCGCGTTCTTATCATTCTTCTGTTGCGCTGCTTGTCTATTTCTCTTCAAAGCACCAACTTAAAATGGCTATTTTGGTTGAAGAGGATCGTGCAGAACCTGGGCAAGCACGGCTTTTAATGGTAGGCCTATGTTTTTTGTTTGTTGTTGTCTCATACTTTTAGATACGCTGTTGTTTGTAAATGCTACTGCTTATGTTAGCTTTTAATATACAGTTTTATCCTGATTAAAGCTTTAATACAGTACGGCAACTGCACGCGCGTCCATGATTAACGCTTCATTGTTGGAGCTGAGCTGAATGAGAAAGAGAGAGCGAGAGATGCAGAGCGTGTGCAGAGCAGGGGAACGCAAGGAACAGTATTAAGAACCGCTGCTTTAGAACATTGATTTTGAAACTTGTGAATCCATTAGAATCCTCAGAAGACAGAATTGCGATTCCTATATGAATAGATTTTTACATGCACCTCTAGTTTTCTCTTCCTCTTCTCTGAAGCAGTGTAGCATGGCCTCACCCCCTTTGCTGCCTTTTCCCGAGGGCGGGGTTTGTCTGGGTTTCTGATGTCACGAACCCGGGAAGTAACTTGATGTAGTCCCTACCAGCCGTTTTTGTAGGCATTAAACTGCCAGAATTTGAAAAGACGATATCTCCATTTGCATTGAACTTTCAGCTTCGTAACTTTGCAGATATTGTTTATGCTCAAACAGCAACATTAGACACTAACTAACATTAAAAAGTGAAATCGCAATGAACCACCACTTTAATTTGCTTCTGCGGGTCTTAGAAAGATCTTGGTTTCATGTCCACAATTTAAGGCCTTAAAAAGATCTTAAATAAGAGCAGAACGTCTTAAATTCATAGTCACGGCATTAAATGTTGCATGTGTTGCTAAAAATGAATATCTTCCTCAGTATTTTTGTCATTTTCCAATACAAATATTTGAAACATCCTTAAATCAAGATTCTTGAGATGCAAACTGAACTTCTGAGAAATTGAACAAAATAAAGTAAGTTTATGCTTAAAATAACAAATATCTGTCTTTGAGGTATGAAAACTCGTTTTACCTTTGAATTAAGTTTGTGATATTTGTTGTTGTTTCAGTCATAAACTCTACAGAAGTTCTCAAACACTTTGCCTTCATCCCCCAAGGTTATTCCAAGAAAAACGATTGTTTTGGAGGTCTGGTTAAACTGGATTCTTAAAGCGTGGTTAAATAAGCATGCTATGTCTTTGGCCTCGCTCTGAATATTTGATTAACTTGTCAGGAAAGACAGTCACGCTAACATGATGTAGCTTCCTTCCAAAGTAATGTGCAGTGGTTTGCTGCATGTGATGCTCAACATTTATTTGAGGTTCGATGTTCAAACTCTAGAAGGTGTTTATCTTCTGTATTCCAGCTATTTGAACCTTTTTTTTCTGATTACATTACTAGAATGCCATATTTTTATTTTCATTAGATTATTGTTTTGATAAAATATTCCCTCAGAGTTGTCGAAACTTGGAAAATGTAAAAATATTTCATCAATCTCCCGAAAGCTGGTAACTAATTAGTATTAATAGTATAGCATTAATGATAACCAGTTGAGTTACTTTTAGTAGTTTGACAATTCGAGTGTAGCAGAAGAACTGTTTTAGCACGACTTCAACTTTAAAAAGTCATTTAGTTTTTTTCTAACACTTTTATTAGATTTTTTTTTTAATAAAATGAAAGTATTACATACATTTTAAATCTTAATTTACTTATTATTTTTGCAGAGGAATGAGCTGATATAAAAATTGACCAATAATTATTTTCAGGTTTTGGCTGATAATAAACTTTTTTTTTTTAATGAAATTTGGCATGACAACATTATGATATACAGCAAGAAAAATGGATATAAACTTTGAGATTTGCAAAAGATTAACTTTAATTGGGCTGAAATGTGTATGTATAATTAAATATCCAATATCTTTAGATAACCAATAGGCCTATGTTACCGATATATCATTCATTCACAGTAGGGCTGT